AGTCCCTTTGAACTTTAGTCACTTTTAACTTTAGTCACTTTTAACTTCAGTCCCTTTTAACTTCAGTCCCTTTTAACTTCAGTCCCTTTTAACTTCAGTCCCTTTTAACTTTAGTCCCTTTGAACTTTAGTCACTTTTAACTTTAGTCACTTTTAACTTTAGTCACTTTTAACTTTAGTCCCTTTTAACTTCAGTCCCTTTTAACTTCAGTCCCTTTTAACTTCAGTCCCTTTTAACTTCAGTCCCTTTTAACTTCAGTCCCTTTTAACTTTAGTCACTTTTAACTTTAGTCACTTTTAACTTTAGTCACTTTTAACTTTAGTCCCTTTTAACTTTAGTCACTTTTAACTTTAGTCCCTTTTAACTTTAGTCCCTTTTAACTTCAGTCCCTTTTAACTTTAGTCACTTTCAACTTTAGTCCCTTTTAACTTCAGTCCCTTTTAACTTTAGTCCCTTTTAACTTCAGTCCCTTTTAACTTCAGTCCCTTTTAACTTTAGTCACTTTTAACTTTAGTCACTTTTAACTTTAGTCACTTTTAACTTTAGTCCCTTTTAACTTTAGTCACTTTTAACTTTAGTCACTTTTAACTTTAGTCACTTTCAACTTTAGTCACTTTTAACTTTAGTCCCTTTTAACTTTAGTCACTTTTAACTTTAGTCCCTTTTAACTTCAGTCCCTTTTAACTTTAGTCCCTTTTAACTTTAGTCCCTTTTAACTTTAGTCACTTTTAACTTTAGTCACTTTCAACTTTAGTCACTTTCAACTTTAGTCACTTTTAACTTTAGTCCCTTTTAACTTTAGTCACTTTCAACTTTAGTCACTTTTAACTTTAGTCCCTTTTAACTTTAGTCACTTTCAACTTTAGTCACTTTCAACTTTAGTCACTTTTAACTTTAGTCACTTTTAACTTTAGTCACTTTCAACTTTAGTCACTTTTAACTTTAGTCCCTTTTAACTTTAGTCACTTTTAACTTTAGTCCCTTTTAACTTTAGTCACTTTTAACTTTAGTCACTTTCAACTTTAGTCACTTTTAACTTTAGTCACTTTTAACTTTAGTCCCTTTTAACTTTAGTCACTTTTAACTTTAGTCCCTTTGAACTTTAGTCACTTTTAACTTTAGTCACTTTTAACTTTATTCCCTTTTAACTTCAGTCCCTTTTAACTTTAGTCCCTTTTAACTTCAGTCCCTTTTAACTTTAGTCACTTTTAACTTCAGTCCCTTTTAACTTTAGTCCCTTTTAACTTCAGTCCCTTTTAACTTTAGTCACTTTTAACTTCAGTCCCTTTTAACTTTAGTCACTTTTAACTTTAGTCACTTTTAACTTTAGTCACTTTCAACTTTAGTCACTTTCAACTTTAGTCACTTTTAACTTTAGTCACTTTTAACTTTAGTCACTTTTAACTTCAGTCCCTTTTAACTTCAGTCCCTTTTAACTTTAGTCCCTTTGAACTTTAGTCACTTTTAACTTTAGTCACTTTTAACTTTAGTCACTTTTAACTTCAGTCCCTTTTAACTTTAGTCACTTTTAACTTTAGTCACTTTCAACTTTAGTCACTTTTAACTTCAGTCCCTTTTAACTTCAGTCCCTTTTAACTTCAGTCCCTTTTAACTTTAGTCCCTTTGAACTTTAGTCACTTTTAACTTTAGTCACTTTTAACTTCAGTCCCTTTTAACTTCAGTCCCTTTTAACTTCAGTCCCTTTTAACTTTAGTCCCTTTGAACTTTAGTCACTTTTAACTTTAGTCACTTTTAACTTTAGTCCCTTTTAACTTCAGTCCCTTTTAACTTCAGTCCCTTTTAACTTCAGTCCCTTTTAACTTCAGTCCCTTTTAACTTCAGTCCCTTTTAACTTTAGTCACTTTTAACTTTAGTCCCTTTTAACTTTAGTCACTTTTAACTTTAGTCACTTTTAACTTTAGTCCCTTTTAACTTCAGTCCCTTTTAACTTTAGTCCCTTTTAACTTTAGTCACTTTTAACTTTAGTCCCTTTTAACTTTAGTCACTTTTAACTTTAGTCACTTTCAACTTTAGTCACTTTTAACTTTAGTCCCTTTTAACTTTAGTCACTTTTAACTTTAGTCCCTTTTAACTTTAGTCACTTTTAACTTTAGTCCCTTTTAACTTCAGTCCCTTTTAACTTTAGTCACTTTCAACTTTAGTCACTTTTAACTTTAGTCACTTTTAACTTCAGTCCCTTTTAACTTCAGTCCCTTTTAACTTTAGTCACTTTTAACTTTAGTCACTTTTAACTTTAGTCACTTTTAACTTTAGTCCCTTTTAACTTTAGTCACTTTTAACTTTAGTCACTTTTAACTTCAGTCCCTTTTAACTTCAGTCCCTTTTAACTTCAGTCCCTTTTAACTTTAGTCACTTTTAACTTTAGTCACTTTTAACTTTAGTCACTTTTAACTTTAGTCCCTTTTAACTTTAGTCACTTTTAACTTTAGTCCCTTTTAACTTTAGTCCCTTTTAACTTCAGTCCCTTTTAACTTTAGTCACTTTCAACTTTAGTCCCTTTTAACTTCAGTCCCTTTTAACTTTAGTCCCTTTTAACTTCAGTCCCTTTTAACTTCAGTCCCTTTTAACTTTAGTCACTTTTAACTTTAGTCACTTTTAACTTTAGTCACTTTTAACTTTAGTCCCTTTTAACTTTAGTCACTTTTAACTTTAGTCACTTTTAACTTTAGTCACTTTCAACTTTAGTCACTTTTAACTTTAGTCCCTTTTAACTTTAGTCACTTTTAACTTTAGTCCCTTTTAACTTCAGTCCCTTTTAACTTTAGTCCCTTTTAACTTTAGTCCCTTTTAACTTTAGTCACTTTTAACTTTAGTCACTTTCAACTTTAGTCACTTTCAACTTTAGTCACTTTTAACTTTAGTCCCTTTTAACTTTAGTCACTTTCAACTTTAGTCACTTTTAACTTTAGTCCCTTTTAACTTTAGTCACTTTCAACTTTAGTCACTTTCAACTTTAGTCACTTTTAACTTTAGTCACTTTTAACTTTAGTCACTTTCAACTTTAGTCACTTTTAACTTTAGTCCCTTTTAACTTTAGTCACTTTTAACTTTAGTCACCGACAGGCATAACGAAGACGCAAAGACGGATTTCCTGGCCGAGCTGGCGCTGATGAAGTCCATCCCACATCACGTCAACATCATCACCCTCCATGGCAGCTGCACTGCTCATGGTACGGCAACTCTTGCACCCTACTGTACCTCTCTTCTGATACCACTGCTACTAGTTCTGATAGCATTGTATTTAGTTCTGATACCATTGTAACTAGTTCTGATATCACTGTAACCAGTTCTGATACCATTGTAACTAGTTCTGATACCACCGTATCTAGTTCTGATAAATTGTAACTAGTTCTGATACCATTGTAACTAGTTGTGATACCATTGTAACTAGTTGTGATACCATTGTTACTAGTTCTAGCACCATTGTAACTAGTTCTGATACCATTGTAACTAGTTGTGATACCATTGTAACTAGTTGTGATACCATTGTAACTAGTTCTAGTAACATTGTAACTAGTTCTGATACCACCGTATCTAGTTCTGATAAATTGTTTGATACCATTCTGTCTAGCTCTGATGCCACTGTAACTAGTTATGATGGTCTTTTATCTAGTTCTGATGCTCTTTTATCTAGTTCTGATGCTCTTTTATCTCGTTCTGATACTATTGTAACTTTTTCGGATACCATTGTAATTACTCCTGCCACTATAGCTTGTGAAAAGTTTTGACCTGTCATTTCACCCCCTCCCCCGGGCCGCTCCCGCTGTTCTCCACACAGATCCATACATGATGCTGCTGGAGTACGCCGAGAGGGGCGATCTCAAGAAGCACCTCCAGGATCAGAGGATGGAGCGCAACTACGCCAACGCCGCCTTCAGCTCTTACGGCGTCCGGCAGCCGTACAGCGGTGGCGTCGCAACTTACAGCAACATCTCCGGCTTCAGCGGCGTCACCACCTGTGGCAAATCACCATGCGGACTCAGAAAGGATGGGTCAAGGTACGCGCGGGGGTCCTGGGTGGAGGGGGTTGTCGTGTAGTCATGGTGTCAGTTTATTTGTTTCTTTATCACTGTGTCCGGGTCATTGAGTGATCAGTCATCAAAGTGACGACTTTTACATTCTTCTTGCCGTCCCTTTGCTGTCCTTTTACTGTCCTTTTGCTGTCCTCTTGCTGTCCTCTGGCTGTCCCATTGCTGTCCTCTTGCTGTCCTCTTGCCGTCCTCTTGCCGTTCTTTTGCTTTCCTCTTGCTGTCCTCTTGCTGTCCCATTGCTGTCCTCTCGCTGTCCTCTTGCAGTCCTCTTGACGTCCATTTGCCGTCCTTTTGGTGTCCTTTTGCTGTCCTCTTGCTGTCCTCTTGCTGTCCCATTGCTGTCCTACTGCTGTCCCTTTGCTATCCCCTGGCTGTCCTTTGTCTCTTCCTTGCTGTCCTCTTGCTTCCCCTGGCTGTCCTCTGACTGCCCCCTGGTTGTCCTCTTGCTGTCTCTTTGCATTCCTCTTGCTGTCGTCTTGCTGTCCCCTTGCTTTCATCTGGCTGTCCTATTGCTGTCCTCTCGATAGCTTCTTGGGGATCTCTTGATACCTCCTTGCTGTTTTCCTGCTATATTCTTGGATACTGAATCGCTGCTAAGTATTTATTTTAAATTTTATATTGCTTTCACTGTTGTTTGTTCGATGACGAAGGCTTCTTGCCAACACATTCGTTGTTCCTTTTCGTCCTTTTTTCAGGTTTTCGTATACTTTGTTTCACTTTTCCCTAAGTTTCAGAGTATTATTGAAAACCATTTAAGTAAAAATTTCCCAGCTTTTTTTATTGAATGAATTCAGGTGGTTACATACTGATATCATTTCTATTTATATTTGTGTTGTTGTGTTCAATGAGCTGGCATGACTTTGTGCAGATGAATAATCTTGACTTTTTATCTTTTGCAATGAGGACAGCTGTGGTGGGGAAGAGAAGGTTGTGTCCATTGGCCTGGTCGAACTGGTGACGTCAAAGACTCTGATGACCTTCGCTTTGCAGATTTGTCGCGCCTTGGAGCACCTGGTGAATAATAAGGTAATCCTAAGACAAATTTGAATCAGGTATTAATGTGTGTGTGTGTTGGAGGGGGTCATGTGGGGTAATAGTGAGGTCGTTATAAGCGTCATTTAGGGTCGTTGTGGGGTCATTAGAGGGAGTGGTTACGGGCCAGCCGGGAATTTCCAGTTCATGAGCTTCGTTTGTCTAGGGGGTATTCATTCGCTTGAAACAACCAATGCTTCATAAATCAACGTCACTTTATTCCGATATAATAAGCTCCGAAAATCGAACACTTCAATACAGTTATCGATCCACACCATTACAACCACTCTAACACGTCATTTCCCTTTATAAAAAATACGTCATAAAATCTCTTTCCAAACGATACAACTACACAAATACTCTCCACACTAAACACCATTTCCATACCAATTTACGCCCCAAAATATAGTTCACAACAGAAGTGATTGGGGGGGTCAAGATGGTAGTCAGTGATGAAATGTAGGGTTAGTATGGGAGTCTTTGCTGGGGTCGTTGTGGGGGGGGGGTTCTATGTAAGGGGTCATTTTTAAAAGTAAATCTTTTAACTTTTGGGATTAGTTATGCCCCTTTATCACCCGTTGTTGGTCCCCAGGAAGCTCTGACCAAATAGTTTGATTTCAAACTGACCATTCTCAAGTAGTTCTTAAACAGAACTGCAGCTACACTTATGGGATTACAACTGAATGTGACAAACCTAAACCATATTTAGTTTGAGCACAGAGTGGCAGCTTTGGGGTTTGACACGGTTTGTGTGACAAGTGGCTAAACCTGTGTTGATCCGTAAAGTTAAACCAAGTAATTAATCATGGAACATAAGCTCAAACACGTCTTGCGATTTTAATTATACATTTGACAAAGTTGGCTAAAAAATTTTTTTTTTTTTTTAATTGCTTAAGGCTAGTTCACCCATCTCATTGTTGCCTCACTTCAAAGTATTAACAAAAAAACACATTTTACCCATCTGCTTTCCGTCGAGATTCATCTATGCACGCAAACATACATACACACCGGCTTGCCATCTAGAATTTCTGTATAACCGTTTCACCCAAAAGCATACATCAGACACAGTAGCATACAATAGACACGTCAGCATACAATAGTCGAATTTAAAAAAAATTGCTCTTTCAGATCGTCCATCGTGACGTCGCGGCCAGGAACATTCTTCTGTTTGACCGCAATGTTGTCAAAATCTCGGACTTTGGACTGGCCAGACGCGTTGACCTGGCGGATGTGTACCAGAGGACCAGAAAGGTGATTCTCCCTCTCCCCCCCCCCCTCTTATCTGGTTAAAGTCATGCCTCTGGCGTCAAATAGGATTATTCACCCCAGACCGTCTCTAAATAATTGAGCATCCCCAACAAGACAGAGAGAGGGAGAACATACAATAAGATAGTGAAAAAAGTGTGCAGTGACGTGTCATGGGGTGGGGAGGGGGAGGGGGGAGGGCGTAGCAGAAATTGGGATTCTTAAATGTGCGTTTCTGAAGTTCATGTTTCGTCTAGTAACTTTAGTAGATGGGAAGTTCACACATTGCCTTCGCCAAATATTTGGCATGTTATGACTAGTGTAAAATAATCACACCGTATTAACGACCTGAATCTCAGCCCGTATACGTCATTATAGTACCATGGAATCATCATGACGTTGTGATGATTGTTATATTACTATTTTTCCCCAGGGTCTGCTCCCAGTTCGCTGGATGTCGCCCGAGTCTTTGTTCTACAACCAGTTCAGCCAAATGTCTGACGTCTGGTCGTACGGTGTCTTCTTGTGGGAGCTTGTCACGCTGGGTGAGGTTAAGCTCTGGGATGTGTTCTTTCACATGCTTTGCACATTTTTAATAACTCCAAAGGAGTTGTTTGTTAATGATATGTTCTTGTAGCTACGTCATCAATGTGGTGGATTCTTGTAAATAAGTTATCAATGTGGTATGCTCTTGTATATACGTCATCAGCGTGGTGTTTTCTAGCAAATGCGTCATTGCTGTAGTCTGCTCTTGACCGGCACCCCCTCAATTCCCTCCCTTTGTGTCGTACCCACTAACTAATTCTCCCCAAACTACCCCCACAGGTTCCACTCCTTACTCCGGGCTGGACACACACATGGTGATTGAAAAGGTCAAGCAAGGGGAGCTACTCACGTGTCCACCTCATTCCTCGGATTTTGTGTAGGTTGAATCTAGTTAAATATCACGGGTTGGCTCCCTTTGGTCATTATTTGTTAGCCAATAATAATAAAATGTGTTGCGCCTGCGTTAACAATGACAAGCACGTCATTATAATTGTCAAAATCATGTCAACACAAAGACACGTTATTTAATCATTAAATATGACAAACGTTCTCAGCTTCCCCTTATTTTGTTAAAGGGAAAAAAAATTAGTTTTAAAAGACTTTCAAAATCTTGAAAGGGAAAAAAAAATGTGACTTAAAAGAATATAATAAAATTACAAAAATAAAGTATTCCACTCAACAATTTCAAGTAGTGTATATGTTTGTATTTGAACATTTTTGGGGGGATTTAAACTTATATATATATAATGGTGTCCTTGTAAATGGGACTTTTCAATTTATCACTGAGTCAGTCGTCTCCGTTGAAGAGCTCTTCAGATGCCAACATGTGGTCAAAGAAAGGACCAATGAGCAAACCACCCTCTATGTCGTTAACACAATGCACACACATGATTGTGCTCTCAAATATCGCCAAGCAGAAAAATTTAACGGGTGTTATTTTTGTTTCTTCTTTCTCTTTGCAGTAATGACGTCATGAGGGACTGCTGGGAGGCGTCCCCGAGCAAACGTCCGACGTTCTCCCAGCTGTGCCAGCGGCTGGAGAAACTTCTGGAGGCCCAGGTGGAGTACGTCGATCTTGACCAGATGGACGACCACGAGTACAGTGTCCTGGATGATTAATCGTACCGGGGAGTTTGGGGGGGGGGGGGGGGTG